ATAGAACCATTAAGTTTTCATTTTGTTTTTTGATAATCTCATGAAATTAGAAGTTCTCAATTGTAATGTTCCTTAAGTTTATGAATGAGACGGTATTATGAATATAAAGTTGAAGAATAGATTAGAAAGTTATGTAAATGAATTAATATATAGAATGTAAGAGTGAAGAAGTGATTAGTAAGCTACCGGTGATAGTACAAGCTGTCGACGGGATCCTGCTGCACCATCCCTGAAAGTTCGATTTTAAGAAATCCTCCAAGACACAGGACTGGTTCAGGCATTGTGAATTTCTGCAAGGCATATATCTGTAGACAATTCATGTTATTATATAATTGCATTTTGATGTAGCAAAGTGAAGACACACACACAACAATTAGACAACAAATTGAATTAAGCTCAATATTTAATTATTCAGAAAATTTTTAAATGAGTAAGCATAAACTATATGTTTGCCGTTTCGGGGGATTGAAAATAATGAAAAAAATAATAAATGTTTTCTTTCTGTAATACTTATTAATGATATAAAGACTAACCTGCTCCATAGGAAATTCAACTGATGTATAACCCCAATGGAAGTGCTCGTCTACAATATGCGACAACGGAAAGTTGTTTGCATTCATAGCAAAATATTCGGGGCATCTTGCATATCCCATCCTAAATCGGACCGATCTGGCTGAATATACAAAGGTTCCTTGATGCAACCATTCTGCAAAAAATAGAATAACCAAATTATGGTACAAATGAAAGATTGTTTAAATGTAAATAAGGTTGAAAGTGATGGAAGATAATATTAATTGTACCTAGATAAGGTCGGATATTAATGTCAGTGACTATGCACATGCTGCCATCTAACTTGAAAAGTATGCTTTCACAAGTATCAGGACGAGCATGACCCACACTTGACCAATATGATGGTTTCGTGGTGTACAAATCTGATTGGAGCAGCACATTGATGGGGCTCTCCTTAGGGTAATTACGGGTAGACGAAGCTCCCATAACATACTTTGTCACATCCTTGGGAAACACCCTTGCCGTGGATAAGGCAATATGTAATTTGTTATACATATTGTGTTCCTTTTCCAGATAAATGAAGGATGGGACAAATTCCCTATTCCAACGCCACATTCTATTAATTCTATCGGAATCGTTGTATAGTGTTTCTATCATTGGAGCTCTCCTGAAACACCTGGTTCTGGATATGCTGTTTTGTACAACTTCAAAAATGAAATACAACATCAGCTAATTAATGAATAAATATTGAAGACATCATGAATAAGATATATATATATATGATGGAAGGTCAACTTGAATTAGTAGAAGATTAATGAAGAATCTATAAGAAATTAGGTGTGTCTTCTTGTTGAAAGAAAATGAAGATTCTAGAGATATCAAGAATGCTCAATGATCTTTTGGTGTGTCTTCTTCTAGGCCAGGTTCAGATCTTTTTGGACTTATGAGTTGGATTGTCTTTTAATTGACATATGCTCTCTCATTGTAATAAGGTACTATTGGTAATCTCTTTTATTATCAATGCAATTAGGGTTTTATTATTATTTTTTTAAACTTAAATATTCAATGATTTAGAATGTTCTCTCTTATAAATAGTCTCACTTATAATCATATGTAATGGAAAAGAGTTGGAGAAAAACATTCTCTTTCAGTAAAATCTTCTTTTGTTACATTTGGGCTCCCTATATCCATCAATATATATTAATGTGAAATGATCAAGTAGCCTAGTTTCTATCAACACGAAAGATATGTTTTCCACTTGAATAAGAAGATATATTTTGTAGAGAAAACTATCAGCACTCACCAAAGTTGTACCAGTTGCGGGAAACTGTAGAGAGCCTTATTATATCCACCGGATCATCGATGAATGATAGGATTAGTAAGATAACTTCGAAAGGGAAGTAGGCTAGGAAGTCTGCCATTTAAGTACTCGTATACTGCAATCAAATTCAAAACATATTAATCACTTTCAAGTAAGTTTTATTCCATCAAAACACATAAGTAGTCATGTAGAACACTGGTTTTTGTTTTTCTAATATAAAAAATTTATGCCTATAATAATCATGGTGGTGTGGAAAATATAAGTAGGTCATCTTACTTAAAATGTTTTCTCAATTGAAATTAGCATAATTCTAATTAGGTATGATTAAAGTACAATTATTCTACAAACTTCAAGATTTTAGCTTATATGGGCATCGAGGAAGGACTTACGAGTACAAACACAAACAAAGTATACATACATATTTATTTGTCTGTGCCTTGCATCTGTAAATAAATCTACTATATATGATATATTAACTAATTAAAGAATAAACCTCCATGATCTCGTTTATTAAAAACACGTTACACTTCAATTATTGTCAATATTAAAATACAACAATGATATCACTAGCTAATTCCTACAAACTTGAGAAACAAAACAAGATGATAATAGAAGCAAGGTGAAAATCGAAAAGGAAAAATGCCCAAAAATATAAGCTTAATATATAAAATAAAAAAGAAATAATGTCTTCACATAAAATTTTGTGTATAAATGATTCATAAATAAAAAAATCTTAACACACCATAATCTAGAAGGCATACAAGAAGATATAACGAAATATATTATATACACATTAATAATATATGTTGATATTTCCACTAAGAAACCCTTCTTTGTAATTTGGCCGGTAATTGCAGATCTGTAAATTGAAGGTTGACTAAAATTATAGATCTAATTAATATTATTCTTTACTTGACTATTTGTATTTTGTTTTGTTTTTTAATATATAAAATAAAGACAGATTTGCAACTTAGATGGCTAAATTTAAAACCTTGATTACATATGATTTCAAAATTTTCACAAATAACAAATATTATTTGTTTGATGATATCCTCGAGGAGAGAGATCGAAAGAACAAAAAATCCAAATATACAAAATAAAATAAAATAAAATCTGACAAATTTAAAACTAGATCTATCTTTTGTAGGCAAAAAAAACCCTCAATCATAGACACCTATTTTATTTATTTTTTTAAGAACAAAAAAAAAAAAAAGAAGGAAAATATCAACTTAGAAAGGAAAATCCTTGATTTGTTGACACCAACAAAGAAACAAACAGCTCCCACGGAAGGGAAAAAAAAAAAAAAAACGACGACTGACTCCAAAACGAGGTGGAGGGAAGAGGACATCGAATCAATACCTGATCAGATAAATAAATCAAGAAGGCACAAAGAAACTCGACGGATCTGCAAGAAGGAAACAAAAACTGCTGTTCAAAAAGGCAAACCAAACACAGAGAAGGAAAAGAAACTCCAACTGTGAACACAGAATTCACGTCGGGGATATGCATTTAAATTTACACATATACACAGACATACAGTACAGACGATGGAGATATCTTTGGTAGCGAATGTGTGGATGTGTATGCGCCCGGACAGCTTCACCTGCTGAGAAACTTCTGGCAAAGATAGCTGCTGCGGAAATGTCGATACAAACGATGGAAGTGGTTCTCTGGTGACCCTGCGGGTTTTAATGAGAGGGAGTTAAAGGCAACGTCAGTTTCTGGTGCTTTATGACGTATGATACATTTGTAATGATGGGCCGATTATATCCCTTTCTGTGCTCTATCTTGGTTTCATTTGGACAGAAAATTACAGTATAGGTCTTCGTCTCCCCTACTTTTTGCAGCTACAGGACAATCGAGGCTTGGATTTGGGCTTTTTTCTTGTTTAAGTTGAGAAATAATGTACTTTTTTTGTTTGGACAGTTGCTTGTAATTAAGGAACCCTTGGGAACATGGACCCAACTGTGTAGCTGTATTTTTTTATTTTTTATTTTTGACAGTAATAGTTTCATATATTGCTGAAGGCTTCTTATTTAGAGCATGAGAAACTATAAGTTGCATTTGGATTAACAAAGCTATAGCCCCTCCAATGAATATAATTTAATGTTTGTTTTAAAAATGAGGCTTCATGTTATCCTGATTGTGATGAATTAATTAATAGAACCTGTTAATGGTGATTCTTAACATGATATTTTTAATGCTCTTTTTTTTAACCTATGAGGATAACCATCCTCTAATGGGGACAAGCTTATGGGATTACCTAAAGTAGGGATTGATTGATTTTCTTCCATGCCCTACTGAAAATACTTGATCAACTTGTTTGAGATAATGTAAAAAAAAAAAAAGAAAATGAAAAAGAAAAAGATATTTAAAAATAGGTTTTGGTTTCTGAAGAAGTGAAGATCAAATACACTGTTCATACATACAAGGAGAACGGTGGCCTAATTGAAGAGAAGCTCCCACTTCAAGTAGGCAAATGATTCAATTCGATTTGTACCTTACTTCACATAGCTTTATCAACAACTTCGAAACCCACGGACAGGAAAACCTTGAAAAAAAAATGTATCATTGGAGCATTAGCTAGTCACACAAAAGAATGACAATGAAAACCAAGTATTTGCAGGTGGGAATTGCAAGTAAATAATGAGACTTTTTAGAACATTACAAGAAAATATAAATGCAATTTTATGCATTATATTATTTGATTTTGGTCCCAAACTAAATAAATATCAATACTTTTTAATTTATACAGTTCTTAAAGAAATATCACATAAAATACTATCTAAATATTAAAACCTCTAATTCAAACAAAAATCAAATAAACATTCAAGATAAAAATCATTGACGATAATACTACATATCCATAACGATGGATAAGAAAACCCTAATATTATTTTAGGCTTAACAACATACATATATTTGTATACATAATAAGTTTGAGGATATACAGAACCATAAGCACTGCCAACAGGTCAAGGAAGTGTTAGGAGGATTGCCCAGACAAATTCATTGCAAAACCCCAACAATGACTAAATAACCAATGCAAGAAAATGACTTATATCAACTTCGAAAAGCAGAGAAAAATAAGGAATAATAACTAAAAAAGATAATGTATAGAGTTATTTGATTGATACTTGAAACTGTAAATTAAGTACCTCAGCGCCAATTATTGTGCATCATGCATCACTTCATCTATCATAGTTAGTATTTGTGCCGCGGTCGTTGAACCCTCCTGTAGAAAGTCCTGGTAAACTTTATCCTCAAGCATCGCGTAGTTGCGGGCCACAAAAAACATAGGGATTCGCCTCAGAACATTATGTACTTCTGAAGCATTGCAGGTCACTTGCATTTCCCCTCCTTCTGTTGTCCTAACATCGAAGGCTGGTTTTAAAGAGTGACCATAAATGTTCACACTCATGAGGCTGTCAAAATAAAACAGTTGCATGAAAATTTTAGAACTCACAATATATATAACAGTAGAGACCAATTAATTTTCAGTGTTCAGTGTTATTCTTTTGCGCATTCCTCTTGGAATTATAATTTTTCTAGTGTACTTTCCTTGTTTAAGCTTATGAATGAACTAATATAATAAACATAAGATTGAATAATGGATTACTAAGGTATGAATGATATTAAATTATGCATGTATAATTGAAGAACGGACGGGTAAGTACCGGTGATAGTACATGTTATCTTCTGTATCCCTTTCCGCCATCCCTATGAGTTCGACCTTTAAAAACCCTCCGACGCATAGGACAGGTTCAGGCAGTTTGAATGTCTGCAACTCATATCTCTGCAAATAATTCATATTAATAAATATTGGCATTATGATAGAACATAGGACTAACACATAAAATATATAAATTCTACCCAAAATTAATTTGGAAGTGGGACAACAAATCAATTTAAACTTTAGTCAAATCTTGAAATATTATTATAAATGAGTAAGCATAGACTATATGTATAAAGTAAATATTAGTCCTTCACATAAGACATAACAACAAAAAATCAAGCTAAATTCAATGTATAATGGTTCTTTTATTTGGAAGTAAAAAGAAAACAATGTTTCCTTTTTATTTCTTAAAATTTATGTATTGAGTTACCTGTTCCATGGGAAATTCCGGAGACGTATATCGCCATGTGCACCATTCGTCATTTATATGGTTTAATGGCAAGTTGGCTACATTGATGTTCAAAGATCTAGGGAAGCTAGCTTGTCCCATTTTAAATCGGACCGAGCTTGCTGAGAATATCAAATCTCCTTCATGTGAGCGCACTGCATGGAAAATTAAACAAGAGTAGCCAAATTAGATACTTACCATTGTCTGAAATAATTGCATAGATCTATTAGTGAATATAGAAAATGATGGAAAAAATTCTAAATGTACCTTGAAAAGGCTGAATATCAACATGGGTGACTATGCATATGCCACCATCTAGTTTGAAGAGTATACTCTCACAAACATCACCATGAGTATGGCCCGTGCTCGACCACTGCGATGCCTGATAGTAAAATAAGTCGGACGGTAGCAGCACATTGACGACACTGTCCTTGGGATAATTTCGTGTTGAGGAAGCGCCAATGACATACTGGACAATGTCTTTAGGATTTATATTTGCTTTGGATAAAGCAGAAAGTAGATAATTGAATACTTTATGCTGTTTTTCAAGAGCACGGAATCTGCGGCTATTGTTCCGGTTCCCATGCTCAAAAAGTCCGACTGAATCAACATGTATACCTTCGAGCATCGGTGCTCTCTTCAAACATTGGACTTTGGTAATGCTGTTTCTTACCACTTCAGAATAAAAAATAAAAGAGAATATAATCGATGAAGAATGAAGACTCGATGAAAAAAGATATATATATATACACTTATAGCCTTGATAAAATCAAACATCTATCCACATGATATATAGATTATGTTACACTGAATTATGGGCAAATAAATGCATATATTTATGAAACCTACTCATAGATTTTGTATTAGAAAGCACATATTTTCCAGTATGCATATGATGAGAATTAAAATGTAATGTGGTGAAACCAAATGAATAACAATAAGCATAAACAATGAAGTTCCTCGATACAAGATTATATTAGTATCGAAAACTATCTGCAACAAACAAGAAGATAATATATAACTTACCAAAATTGTACCAAGATCCTGAGACCAGCGATAAGTTTATGATATCCAGTGGGTCTAACAGTGAAAGAATCAACAGAATAACCTCCATTGGAAAATAATCCAGAAAATCAGCCATTGGATGATGGTTGTACACTCTAGCCAAACACAAAGCATGTTAATCCAAGTGAGTAAATAATCTCACATCAACACATTAGGTAATCATGTCGAACACAAGGAAACTTTGAACATTTAGCTGCAGCCTCAACAAAATACCTATGAGTTCATACACAAACTATATATATATATATATCTATATATATATATATGATAGTATGTTGCTATGTCCGTGGTGCTATTTGCATCCGTAGAATATTTGTGAAATATATATATTTTTCTTGAAATCAAACCGCGTCATCCGAGAAAGCTATACTAGGGTTTAACTTTGGCAAGTCTTAGATTACAAACTCGACCAAGAAGATATTGGTAGAATTTGAATTTAGGCAGCTTAGTTCGCATTTGTAACATTCCTTACATGAGAGCATTAGCTCATTGATTAATGAATAAAACTTCATTATTTATGTGTCTATAACATTTGACATCTTAATTGTTGTTATGTTAAAAACATATATATTTAATAAAAGATCAAAGAAATAGTATCACTATCTAATTTCGAGTAAGAAACATGATGAAAAAAAAAAAAGGAAAAAATCCCATAAAACTTAAACTAAATATTTATCAAAACATATTTAAAAAAATTAAATTAGAAGTAGAAAATAGAAAATAAGAAGAATAAACTAGAAAAGAAGAAGAGAAATCAGACATGGAATCATTACTCAGGATTATAACACATTCTTTTAACTAAATAATTATATATATATATATATATATTAGCCCCATTTCTAATAATTTAAAGATTTTAAAATTTTGTAATTGAAATTAAAAGAAATTGATGAATGTTCTTTTCTGGGTCTGACTAGACTTCTAGTTTTCAGATTTATTTATTATGACTTAAATATGAATTATATGTCAATGACAAAAATTAATATATATACTTAATTAGCCTTGCTTTCATATATTTTAAAACTATTCATAAATAACTCACTGGATTAGTTTGATTTTATCATCGATGGAAGGATGACAAACCCCGAAGAAAAAAAATCAAAGAACAGAAACTAAGAGAAATAATCATATCTGGTTTTTTCTGTACTGTATCTTGTCTGAGAAAACTCCTCTAAATCATCGCCTTCAATTTTGTAAATCAAAAATCACTTAAAAAATTTAACCACCCCAGAAATGAAAACCCTAGTTTTGGTTTTCAAGGATCCGGATCGTGAAAAAAAAAAAAAAAAAAAACAGAACGAGATGTAGAAGAAGAAGACATCGGAACACTACCTTTAGTCGTAAGATGAAGAATTCGAGCAAGAAGAACGCAACTTCAAGGATCTGCAAGATGGAAACGGAATCTGCAGTGAACCAACTTCAGAATCACAGAAGTGCCAAGAAACTCCAAATTACTTCACGTTTCGTCAAGGAAAGTCATTCATATTTACATACGTATATTATGTGTGTGTGCTAATATCAATAGGTCGATCTGCTGCAAAATTAACATGTAGAAGAGTGCTTAATTACCTGCAGGGGAGCTGGAAATGTCGATGTGAACGATGCAAATGTTTAGGGTGTGAAGGAGAGAGTGGCAGTGGAGACAGGTTTTAAAGAGAAAGAGTAAGGGCACCGACAGACTGTGTAGACGTGTCTACTTTGTACAGTGGGATCGGATAGATATTTCTAATAAAATCACAACTTTAGATTTGGGCAATACAATACAGCAGGTTTTTCTATCAGCCTGCATTCAAATTGGGCTTTGTCCCGTCGAGATAATAAGGAACTGTACATAATTAATTTGTTTGGACAACCGCTTAATTATCTTGTAAGAAGAAGAAATCCTTTCACCTTTAGCTTGTGTTTGCTTTCTTTTATTTCCTTAATTTGTGTAGACTTAGGGAAACAAAAATAATTACAGGTGTAAATCATAGTTGTATATTTCCATATATATAGTTACATTGCTAAGGCCTTCATAGTTTCAGCATGATGATGGAGATAGCAAGTGCAGACATCATTGGAAATTTCCGCGATGACATATTAAAATGAACTTGTTAAAGCTTCGGTTTTCAGAAACTAAGCTTCATGGGGAATTAATACTGCCTGCTGACAGTGATTCTTGAGAAGAAAATTTCAAACCTATTAGACGTTTGGAGAATTAAAACCGTAAACAATATAGCGACGAGCACTTAGATCACTGTGAAAATTATGATGAGGGTAGGATTCATGGATCCATCAGAGTAATTAACAAAAAAAATCTACTGTTTGAATGAACAACAACACTAATCTATAATAAGATTGGACATCCATATTCTGTAGTCTGTATCAAATAACATAGAAATAGGAAAACCATTAATGTTTCAATTTTTTTTATACCTTTTACATAAAAAAATAAAAAAAAACAAAAAACAAAAAATTGTTATATATGAAAAAATGAGTATTGGATATAATCCTATATAAAAAAAAATAGTATAATATATTTATTTTATCACTTACACACATTCTCCAGGGTCGAACCCGATCACTAGCCCCATGAAAAGGATAGCAACCACTTGACCTAAAGGCAAGTCAGACTATTATGGTACAATGTTTCGACAAGGATGATATACATACATACATCAATGTATATATTATTTCTACTTTTTTCTAACCACTATAAAATCCATAGATATGAATACACTATATATTGTAATTTAGAAAAGAAAGAAGCTAAACAAAATATGATCAATTAAGACATAAAAATGTTATTTTCATTTCATATGAAGCATTTACAGCACATAGCCTCATTTGTAGGTATATTTTCCCAATGCTAGCTGTTGTCAACAGCTGCAAAAACAAAAACATGATGTTAGTACAAGTATATCTGGGAAGTGTAACAAATGATAGGTCATGTTACTGTTTAAAAAATAAATAAAAAAAATCCATAGAAGCAATTGACAAGATATATGTTTTTTATGTAGTAGAATTATTACTAAACTAGTACATATATAATAATGTATTGCATTCAACAATTGTAAGTTTGAGCAAATAGACCAAACCCTAGTTAGCAGATTGCCAATTAGTAAAGAATGCATGAATATAAACATTGCACATATATACCAATTGCCATCCAATATTTGGAATTATATATTTGATTGATACCTGAAAATGGTAAATGCAGGCCCGACGGGGCATCCCCCAACGAATGAAATAGTGCCTTTGATCTAATATAATTCATCAGCCAGCTCATAGTTCATAAGCTGAATCTTCATGCTCATTACATGTGTTGCCTTCATCGATCTCTCTGTTGGGAGCTGCTCGGTAAGTATCTCTACCAACAAGGAATTGGGGGACACAAAATCCAGTGGAATGTTCCTCAGAACTTCATGAAATTCAGCAGCATTGTACATCAACCTCATCTCCCCTCTTTCTCCGAACCCAATCGCGAAGGCAGGTTTAGAGAGTGTCCGTTGATGTTGACTTTCCCAATGCTATAAGAATTAAACATTTGAAAGTATATTCAAAATCCATATAAGGATCAAGACCATTAATTTTCATATTTATATGCTACATGTTTTGCACGTTTCTCACCTAATTAGAAATATTCTAATGTTTTTTCTTGTTTGATTTAATTAATGAGTTCATATGATAAATATAAGACTGAAGAGTGGATTTGGACACTATGAATGAATTAATATTATGAATTTAACATTGAAGAATGGTTAGTAAGTTACCGATGATAATACATGTTATCGTTCAGGTCCATCGTGCACATCCCTATAAGCTCAATCTTCAGGAATCCTCCAACACATGACTGGCTCAGGTAGTTTGAATTTCTGAAGGTCATATATCTGCAAACAATCCATACTAATAAATATTTTCATTATGATAGAGCAAAGGACTGACATATAAAATAAAAATTCTACCTAAAATTAGTTTGGAACTAGGACAACAAACTAATTTAAACTTAATCTAATAATGAAGTAATATTATAAATCAGTACGTGTATTATACATGTATATATAATGTTAATACTTAATCAAAACATAAGCTACAAAAGAAAGAAAAAAAAAAAAAAAAAAAAACCAAGCTAAAATCAACTCGAGTCTATTCCTTATTTTGAATTAACAAGAAATAATAAGTTCGCTTTTTGTAGCATGCTCCATTGGAAACTCGGTGGATGTATAAGTCCACATGAAGTCCTGTCTTGTAAATGGATCGAAAAGCTGTATGGATCAATGACAAAATATTTAGGATCTCTAGCATGTCCCCTTTGAACTTGGACTGAGCTAGCCGAGAATATGAAATCTCCTTCATCCAAAAGCTCCGCAAGGAAATTTTCTTTTTTAATAAAAGGAGCCAAAATAGGAACTTTTCATTGTATGGAATGGTTGCATATACTGCCATCTAATTGAAGATTATGCTCCCACAAGCATGACCAGTACGATGGCTTATGATACCACTGTTAGGACTGGTCAACTCAACAACACTAGTATGATATTGTTCGTTTTAGGCTTAATCCGCACAGATTTATTTTTGGATATT